AACGTTTCCTTCCTTCGCTAAGATTGAGATATGAAAGGTTATGAGTGAGAAAGGTGACAGAAAATCAGATAGCGACAGCCATATCACATGGATGTTCTGCAGTGAAGGTTGTGCACAGAGAAATGCCTTAAGATAGAGATCAGGAAGTGTGATACCTTATGAAATAAGCTGGAGAACATATTGTAGATATTAATAGGTGCATATTGTTCTTCTTCCTGAAGAAGTGACCTGTGTTTGGGGGGGAAAAAGTAGGTAAAATTATATCAAACTTTAAATAACTGAGATCTCGTATTCTGAACCCTATAAATTCTTATTAAAATCAGGCAATTTCCTACAGACTGCATCTCTCTAAAATTCCCAAGTGCATGGATATCCTCCCTTGATACTCTAGATCAGAGGCACTTGACTCACAGGAAGCAGTTTTACCTGCTGTACACAGCTGTTCACAGGAGAGTCTGGGTTTTAAAGGTTTGGTTAGAGTTCAGTTTTTCAGCATCCATGTTTTTGTCTTCAGATTACCAGTGTTGAAATCTCATGCATGTTATTCATGATAACGGTCTATAGCAGAGGGGCTGTTTTTTCATGCAGTACAAATCTGGAGACAAACTGCTTTTTTGAGCCTATAGTAAACCTTAATTACTCTTCTATTAAAATATTTATTTTTCAATATTTCTTTTCAATCATGTGAGCATCTACAGCTTGTTTACACTTGTAAAGTTCCCAGAATCTTACACCTTTTTTACTTCAGTCAGTGACTTTGTTTTGCTTTTCCTGTGTGGTACAGTTTTTATCATGCACAGATCAAAGCACCGAAGTGATCAACAGTGTAATGACATGTTAGAAATGTCTGAAAATCCAAGATTGTGCCATCATGTAAAAAGAAAATTGCTTCAACTTGTCAGAAAAGATACTAATTCTGTTTACACCTGACAAACTGTAAAGGCCCAGGTTATTTTGTGTGAACCTTAGGTGTTGATATGTGGTTCTTAAAGCTTTGCGTACAGGCTCATACTGGTCTAAAAGCCACAGAGGTTGCAAGGAAAGTAAAAACCTGTTTTCTTAAGTGAAAGGGCAGTGGATAAAGACAGTTGCTATCTGACCTTAGTTTTGAAGCTGTAATAAATGCAGGAATTTCAGGGCTTATCTTGAAAACACCAGTGGCATGGATCCCAGCTAAGGGGAGCCTAGGGGAAAATAGCAGAAGATATTGCTGTACTTCTGCATCCTATACCCTGACCTGTGTCACAACGAGGACAGAACTTCACTAATCTGTTTTAATTAGCTGAAGAATTTGGCTTTTTGCTCACTTGTATTCCCTGGAGGGGGGGTGGTGTTACCTCGAGGTCTCTGAGTGTGGCGTGAAGCTGTTTTTTTCAGGTTTTTGTCACCCAGCTTCTCACGGGTTCCAGTACAACCAGTCAACAGAAGCAGCGGAGCCTAGACGATTCTAATGATGTTCCTCTGCTGTTTGTGTTGAGCTTTGGACAAGTATAAGTAAATGTTTTCTGATAAGATAAGATCACTTTATTAGCCCTATACAATTTCTTGCATTAGGAATTCATCTTTTCGCATACCCCAGCTTGCTCTCCATGAGACACAGATATACAACAGTTGTACAGTAGGCGTACAGCAAATCAGCACCCATTCCTGTTCTATAGGTATCAGTGCTGTTGATTCATGTTCTCAGCTTTCCTTGGCATCTAATCCTTTCACGTGCCAGTGTTTTAAATCCAAGAATTATTGGAGTGCCATTATATTCATGTAACTGGAGAGCGTGAAAAAGAAAGTATGATATACTTCACAGACATGGAAGACAGACATTTACCCCGCTAAACCAGTTGTACATCTGCTGATGAACAGAAAATGGTTTGATCAAGGCCATCAATAATCGAATCCTAGCAAACATAAATGAGAAATACCAGGATTATTTGTTTACATGACAGTGAAGATATAGAAAAGCACTGTACAACATTTAATCACTTTTTGGCTGAAGGTTTCAAAAAATGTTACATTTGGGTCGTTTCCAAACTTTAGCTATAGTAAGTCTTGCATTGTTGACATCTGCAAATGTTTTTTAAATGAAAGGGAATAGCTTTGAAGGTGAAACAGCAGATGGCAAATTTACCCCATTTTCTTATTCTCATAAGTATATAATTAACTGTTTTTTTTTATTACTGAGTCACATTTAGCATTTCATGATGAAGGCATTGAGCCATGCCTTGAAGCCTTTTGTTAAATGTTGTTGTGCAAAACATGTGCCCTGGAAGAGTGTGAGAGCACATTTCCTCACGTTTGGCTTTAAGCATTTACTTCAGAAAGAACGAGTAGGCAACCGGACTTTGCCCAAATAGCGGATTACATGAGAAACTGGAGAATCACAGAAGAGATTATGAAATACTGATACTCTATAGATGCAATTTAAGACAGCTTTTCAGCCTTTATTTTTAAGATACTGGTACCTCTTCTTCTTAACAGAAATCTAGAAGTGCATGAATAATTCGGACCTTTTTTATTTTTTATTGCAGCTTTGGAAGGTACTGCCTGAGTGCACGTTTGTGAGTCTGGGAAACCCTTCTTTTACCACAAACCCACAGCCGTTGCTCTGGGCTCTTTGCTCACTTGAGCTTTGCAACCTTTCTCTCTCTCTTTGCTTTCATTATTGTTTTATGTAAAGTTACTACCAAGGACCATTCAGAACATAGAAATTAATAGCATTAATATACAGTATAATATAGCTGCAAGGTAGAACATGAAAGTATTGCATTTACTAAATGCCTCCTGTTCTCAGTTTTCGGTTTCTGCTTGTGTCCTCTGGCTTTTGGTTCTCACTTCATTCTGAAGTCCTCTAGGTTGACTGTCAGTGCTTCTGAGGATTTTGAATACTTGCACAAGGTCGTCCCCTGCTCATCTTCTCTGTTCCAAGAGTAAAAAGGTTCAGCCTGACAGAACAGGACTTTCCCTTAAGCCCTGGCGTGTATCCGGTTGCTCTCCTCTGAGCTGATCCCAGAGCAGCGGGATCTTTTCTATATTCGTCCACAATATTCTTAACAAGGCATGACAATTTCACATCCCTTGGTTTAAATTCAACACTTTTAGTCATGTGTGCTGCTACTTCCAGTTGCTCTTGTTTCGGTCCTGGGTTTGTGTGCTCTGTGTAAAGTTCAGTTGCTCTTTGTGCTGGGACTAGTTGTTACAGTTCAAGGAAATGCTGCTACTCGGAGCTTCCGAAATCTTATCACCAGGACAGCTGCTGAGGAAACGCCATGGTTTAAGCAGAGTGGTTCAGCACAGGTGCAGTGCCCCCTGCCGTAGCCTCTTCAGGTTTTGAGAAGTTGTTTCAGGACGTATGCTGAAGAAGAAACATTCAAATTACCTTCTGTCGTATTCACTTGTTCACTTGTTTAAAACCGTTTGGCCATCGGACTTTCAGTACTTCAGGAAGAATCGACCGGGAATTTAAAAAAACAGAGCGGTCAAGGTGCGTTGTGCATGTGCAATTGTTCAGGCAATAAAAAAGTAAACTGTGTTTGCTCTCACCTCCGGTTCATACGTCATTATTGGAATAGAACAAATAAGTTTCCCACAAGAGAAGATTACAAAAACACTTTGTTATATACTGACAGGGTTTAAAAACACACCAAATGCTGTTGGTTACAATACTCTTGAATTGCATTTTCAATGCCCTTCAATGTATATTTGCATCCACGTACCCCTGGTAATTATAATGAGGCTACATGACCCTCCTGACCCTTCACCTTTCCAGTGGCTTGCTAATGCGGGAAGAAACAAATCCGTGGAATTGTTCTGTGGAAAAGAAGTAGTGGAGGACTTGCGCCTTGTGTAAACAACACTGACTGAAGCTCCCCAGGCACAAGGCAGGCTACTGAGGAGAAATCGCAGCCCTGTAGAAAATCACATCCGCTTCTGAGAAATTTCAGACTGAAGAATGGGTGCTGAAGTAATGAAACTATTTATACTAGAGATTAAATATCTCTTGCTGGAGACCATTAATCAAAGCTGACAATCCTTGTCCAGCGAGAAACTACTGTACGGGAGATGACTTGTGGGCTGTCAAAACTTTGTGCTACAGGCTGATGCATGGCAAAGTCACTTTTATTAATATGTTACAGGTATACAAAACATATTTCTGGGCAGACTGCCCTACATTTTATAACTGAATTGCCAGTGTTTGGTTACAGACTGTAATCCATCTTCCTATTAATGGTCTTAGGAGCTCGCAAATAATACTGAAGAGTAAGATGTGTCAGTATAAACTCGCTCAGCGTTATCAGAACTGGAATGAATAGCACTCTTGTTTTTCTGCCCGTGACAACTTAAGAATGCTACACTGCAATATTAAAGAAATGTCTCTTATTGTTGTTGATTAATAACAAAACATTAAGTTTTGTATCCTCTATGCTTTATAAGTTAGTCTTTTATTTGAAATCATCATTCAGTGGTCCCAAAAATCTGTTGTGGATCATTTTCAAATGTCTTTCCTTGACTCGCCTCTTATATTTAAGGCAAAACTCGAAAAAGAGGACAACTTCATGACAAGCTTATTTTAATACAGCTCTTGTGGGTCATCTTGGTTTCTCATAGATCTCTCTTTCTGTATATTTCACAAAAGAAGTGCAGTTCTTTCCCATGGACATGAATCTTGCCATTGATGTTTCCAGGCATTTTTGCAGAATGCTGTAGGAATTCATGCAGATTTATTAGGAATGCTCTGCACATCTTTAAAAATACATTTTTATCTTGAGACCTATGAAAAAACATTTGCTGCTTTATTTTGATTGATTTTTTTTCCCAAGACTGTTGGGGGGGGGTGGGACTTTGCAAGTTTCTATGTACAGGAAACAGCACAGCAGTGAGGAGGCTGAGGAATGCCAGTCTTTTCGGTGAGAAGGGTGGCGTCTCTCTGGCAGGGGGAGATGAAGACCCTCAGGGCATGACCTGGCTGGTGTGCTGACCGCCCTCTCTCTTCCCTTCCCTCGCAGGTGATGTGTCGCCCATCAGCATGTCTCCGATCAGCCAGTCACAGTTCATCCCGCTGGGGGAGATCCTTTGCTTGGCCATCTCGGCTATGAACTCGGCACGCAAGCCTGTCACCCAGGAGGCGCTGATGGAGCACCTGGCCACCTGCTTTCCAGGTACAGAGTGGTGTGGGTGTCTGCTCTGGGTCCGCATCCCAGCTGGGGCACGGCTCATTCCAGGATGATGGCCTCCGGAGCAAATCAAAGTGACTTGGGGATGAAAACATCACCTGGATTAAATTAATAATAATAATAATGAGCAGGATTTTACGTATATCACGACAAACACGATACTTTGGTGGGGATTGAAATGTATTAGCTGGGAAACTTTGTAAGATGCAGACGAAGAAGCTTGGGTCAATTGTTGATCAGGGATTAATGACAGTAGTGCTGCCACCTCAGAGCCCGATCCTGTTAAAGTTTAGGAACTAAGCAAAGTTGGGCCCGCGCACTTCCCTGGATGGCCGAACTCCACGGAAAACCAGGCTGTCGGTGGAAGTGGTGTCGGGGGACCAGTAGGTGGCAGTCCTCCCTCTGCACCTGAATTTCCCACAGGGGACAGGAGGCGCTGTTGTTCAGATGAGTCCCGACGTCTTGCGTAGTAAAGATCCCAGCGCACCGTTTGAAAGAACTGAGTGCCTGAATTCCACCCTGGGCCTCCGCTGTCAGACCTACCAAAAACTCTGCCTAGAGTTCATTTCTCACTTCTCCGCCTCATCTGTTGTGTCGTGGGACTAGACCTCAGTGATGGATTCTGTGGCTTTATACACATATCACCTGTCATCTAAGATAAGAATAGATTTTATTGTCCCCTGAGGGAAATTTTTTATGGGCACCCAGCACTCCTGTACATTTAAATAGAATAGAATGCAAAACAAAGAGAGAAGAAAAACATTGCACATTGTACTATTACAAAAAAATAGGAAAAACATTGCACATCATTCTATTGCACATGTACAGTATAACACATTACAACATGTAACATTTATAACACATCACAAAAACATATTGCACTCAAGTGGGTTGTAAGAGTCAAATTTATGTTTATCCTTGACACTTGCGTTGACAGCTTTAATGGATAGTGGAACAAAGGAATGTTTGTATCTGTTTGACTTACATTTGGGAACCCTAAAACGTTTGCCAGAAGGAAGAAGTTGATATTCAGAGTTGAGGATGTGGGAAGGATCTGACATAATTTTTGCTGCCTGTTTGATAAGGGATTTTTCAAAGATTGTTTGCAGGGAGGGGTGCTGTTTCACTCCCATGACTTTCAAAGCTGTCTGGATGAGGCAGGTAATTTGCGATTTAAAATGAACTGATAGATGACCAACCCACACTGAAATACCATACCTGATAACGCTCTCGATTACAGCACGGTAGAAGAGTAGCTCCAAATTCAATGTTTGGCACATAAAATGTGTATTTCACATGAAAAAGGCCTTTGGTTTTGTTTATTACAATATAATAATAATAATAATAATTGCTTACACTTATATAGCGCTTTTCTGGACACTCCACTCAAAGCGCTTTACAGGTAATGGGGATCCCCTCCACCACCACCAGTGTGCAGCCCCACCTGGATGATGCGACGGCAGCCATAGTGCGCCAGAACGCTCCCCACACACCAGCTCTCAGGAGGGAGGAGAGCAGAGTAATGAAGCCAATTCATAAAGGGGATTATTAGGAGGCCATGATTGGTAAGGGCCAATGGCAAATTTGGCCAGGAGGCCGGGGTTACACCCCTACTCTTTTCGAGAAACACCCTGGGATTTTTAATGACCACAGAGAGTCAGGACCTCGGTTTTACATCTCATCCGAAGGACGGCACCTGTTTACAGTATAGTGTCCCCATCACTATACTGGGTCATTAGGACCCACGTGGACCACAGGGTGAGCGCCCCCTGCTGGCCCCGCCTTAGTTTTTCCCAGGAGGTCTCCCATCCAGGTACTGACCAGGCTCACACCTGCTGAGCTTCAGTGGGTTGCCAGTTGTGAGTTGCAGTATTCAATATAAATGAATACTCTTAATAAATGCGTTTGTACAACAAAGTAAGGAAAACCCATGCAAAGGTGTACATTGTGTACAATACAAAGTGGTTTTTACTATTAGATGGAGCTGAATATGTCTAACAGCACAGAATTCCAAAATCCCTCACCAAACCTTGTTCATGTTCAATCCACAATCGGAAAAAGAATCCAGAAAGTGAGGCATGAAAATGTCCCTGGACTGTTCCGAGGAAGCCTTACAGGAAATTAAAGGGCACACCAAACACATTCACAGTGAGAAGCCGCATCCACAGATCACAGAGCATCATGAGACCAGGCCGTCTGGCGCATCTAGCCTGCTTGGATAGTTAATTACGTATTGGCAGTTAATCGATTTAAGGATCTCATCCAGCCATTTCTTGAGAGAATCCAAGGTGTCAGCTTTAACACCAGCATTAAAAAGATCTTTCTCGGGCAACAGCTCTGACGTGGGGCTCAGAAATCTGGTAGTCGTAAATTTGTAAAGGTAGTATGCAGCATATGTGCTTGAGACAGGAGGCTCTTTAATTTATTTCCGATTGATTCTTTCTCACGGAAAAGTGTACCTTCCTAACGCACATTGTTTTTCTTGGTAGGTTTACTTCTTTGATAACTGTATACTGTTCAGTTTTGTGGAACCTTACTTAACAACAATTCTGTACTCATCGCAGAGGTGTGTGCTGATAGTGTAACCTAGAATTAGAGATGGATACTACATAACGGGAGCTGTTCCATGATTAAGATGTGTGACGACCAATATGGCGGAATTTAATTATTTTATTGCTTTAGGATTCCATCCGTCTCTGGGTGTATCTGGATACATCTTTTCATATATGCAGTTCCTAGTGCTAGCTTCTCATTAGGAGCATGGTCCTAGCCTTGAGGCAGAGTTCTGATACAATTACAGGTTTTCCCAGACAATTCTTTTGGTCCTAGACTTGAGGACTCTGCCTGGCATTTCTGACCTTGCTGCCATGTAAACAAGTGTCTTCTGTCTTCTCGCCTGATCAGCTTTCTAAAAGACTTTAATTAAGGTACCGCCCCTCCCTTACCCAGGGAACAGCCCAGCACAGCTAAACGCTTCTGGACAAGTCTCGCTTTTCGTCTGCGTCTTTGTTACAGTAATTTAAGATCCAGTTTAAAATCGCCAAACTGGCTGTCGGCGGCTGGAGTTTATTTAACAGCAGAGACTGGCAGGGTGGAGTTGGGTTCTGGCTGCTTTCACAGTTAAAGATGAGACACTTCTGTTGGTGGAAATATTTTGCCAAGTCAGATTACTCCACATGATTTCCTTTAGGGTTTAAACTCTCAGAATGTAAGGATAATGGGAGTGTAGCCAGATAAACTACTCTCTCTTCAAAGCTTTCCAGGCAAGCATTTTTTAACGTTAATGTATCTGTCTCTTTTGTTTTCTTCTTAAAATGGCAAATAATACTATTACGTTCTCTAGATTGGTTGGTTGAAAATCATGTGAAAAAAAAACGCAAAAGACACACAGCACAATTACAAGCACTCAGGCGTGATAATATTTGTTTTACCTTTATAAATAATGACATAAACAAATACAAGTTTTATGGAGCTATTTACAGTGATTTCTTGTCATACACATGTCAATGCTTTGTGGTGTTTCCATTTTCCGTAAATACAGTATGCCATCAATCACTTACAACTTGTGTGTATGAGAACAGCAGTCCTGGCCGTATGAGGACGTATGTACAGTGTAGTTAGTGGAATCCCCTACCTGGAGACCACACATAGACTGTGGGTCGACGATTTCTCTCTCTTGTTGATGTTGGCTGAGATCTGCCTCACTCTACAGTCGACGAAGGAACTGCAGGCTCTGTCCATCTCTCTCATGTGATCCCATTCACACGCGGTTTAATCATTGCTGTCTCACCTGACGATACTAACACTGCAGTGAAAAGGGTTCATTGAAACCTGAGCTGTTTTCCCTCACATCAAGTAAGATCAGAACATTGGCAGCACATCCTGCACAGTCGCCTGCAGGCTGCTGCACTCATCCTGAGTTAAGGGCTGATTTCGATGTGCTCCTTCTCCAGATGTGGGAGAACATTTCAGCTACTTTGCAAACTATTTGTGCTTTTTACATTATCCTGAAAATGCTGGAATATAAAGTTACATTTGGCAAACCTCCCCCTAGGTTTATTGCACAATTAAAACCATGTGCTGTTTATGAAGGTAATCCGATACACCAGATATAAGTTTAATGTGAGGACAGAGTTCAGTGACTTTCAGAAATGTACCAGGAATTTGCTTTACCTCCCCATTTCTGTAGCTATTAATTCTGGTAGGGTTCCGTTGTTTGATGTTTTGCCAGTCCTTATGTTAGGTTTTTTCGCCACTATATCGATGTGTATCCATTGTTTGTTTTTTGTATAGTGTTTGAAGAGTGTCATTATACCGTTTACTTTCTTAACCCGCGGCTTGCAGAGCTAATGAACTGGGCCGGGCTAAGGAAGAAAACCAGCAAATATAAGCAGTTGTTTTGATTTGAATTTTAGTCACTTGCATGGAGCAAGACCCGAAAGGAGAGATTCTGCACATGCATTATAGATGGATGCACTGAGGATGAAATTAAAGAGGACAAAAGAAAGACTTTTAGAATGCACTAGGTCAAATGTATTGTGTCTCATCGCTAGAGTCTGACAAAGCTTTATTGCATCAGTCACCTTAGTCTGTCAAGTGGAAGCACATGTATGCTTTCAGCTGCACGACAGCTCTGCCTCAAAACCCCCAGCAGTACCCCTCCAGCTGCAGGCGGGAGCCCCCCACTGGGACCAGCAAGCACAGGCTTGGCTTCTGTTGGAATGCTGAGGCTGCAGTGGTCCTGCTTACAGTATCGGTCCGTCTCGGGCTCTCTGTGGCTCCTACCATGACCGCACAAACACCCGCTCCCTTGATAAGTCTTAACTACAGAGGGTTAAATGTTGCCTGCTATTACATCATTCCAGTTTAGTTGCCATGCCAACACGATGCAACAATGAACCTGCTGGGTTTGCTTCTTCAGGAGCTGAAGTTTTCCTTTACCTTTTAGTTTCTTTCTTCCTGCAGAGCATGCAGCAGTATTTAAAAGCAATAAGCAAGTACATATTTAGTCACAACGCCACATTTCATCAAGGGAAGCATTAAAAACGTCTCCGAGTAAAAACATGATACTGAAGACTGTGGGGGGAAATTAACCATAAGAAAATTGACTTTTGAATGAGTTTACAGTAAATGCTGAATATATTCCTTTTCCATGTCTGAAAGCTGTGCAGTACCTAATGGGGTTTTTGTTTTCATTGTCTTAACCTGTGTCCTAAAGATTGAATTGGCTGTTGATTATAACAAGGTTTGGGCTGCAGAGGAAAATTCTTGAATGCGTTCCACTTCTTCTCTGTTAAAGAGCGGGTGTTCCCTCTCGAGATTCCTCTCTGTCTCCTTGCTCCCTGCTCTCCTTATCCACGTGACACTGGGTGCACAGAAAGGCCATGAACCCAGTAAGAACCAACAGAACAGGAAGTAATAGGTTGGAGAGGTCTCTCTTTAAACAAAAATGCTCCCCTCACAGTTTATGTACTTCATTGAAACCATAAACGTCCCAATATCTTCAATTAAAACTGTTTCAATTTCAGCTTGCAAATATGGCTTAATAAATGCAATAAGGATCTATTGATCCACTGAATCAGTGGTGGTGATGAAGAAGAGGATGAGGCATTTTTAGCCCAATGTGGTTTATACAGTATGTAGGAGGGCTCTCTTCATCCACCACTGAATTGCAGGCCCCTCTGCACAACAGATCAGGCAGAGAGGTGAGGAATGCCTTCAATTTAATGGAAGGGAAACTTTGGGGAGGTCAGACTCTCCAACCCCAGAGCCAGGACACTTTGGGTAAACACCCTTGCTCTTGTGGGCTGCTCTGTGGGATCTTTAATTATCAGGTACCAAGGACCTTATTTTAACGTATCAGCCAATGAAAGGATACACGCCTTTTGTCTGTGATTGTATTGTGTTTTAGTGCAGCTTTTCATTATGATGCATGCAGTCTCAGCATTTCCTAAATTTACAGTACATGGAAACCATATTTGGCCTGTCCTTTGATTTTGTCTTCATATTTGTAACAATTCATATGTTAATTGAGCATCCAACATGCTTTGCTGTAAGTCTATTTGTTTTGACCGTCTCCTTAAAAAAAATCGGTCCCTTGTCATTTGTGAACTACACAGAGCCCCGGGTTGCTGTGCTGGTGGTGACAACCCTGCAGGCATTCAAGAAATCTGGTTCAGGTCGTTAAGGTCAGGGCAGGCTCTCTGCAACCTTGAAGAGAGCTACTAGCAGCATTTGAAAGAAGGTGTATCTGTACGTACCCAAAATGTGAAGCTACTCTCCGTTGCAGAGATTGGACAGTAGCTTTGGTTGCACACAGGTTTCAAGTTAACCGTGTTCAACTTAAAAAAGGATTGCGTTATCCACCAAAAAAGATTCCGCAAAAATGAACTAGTCTACCATCATGAGACACGTTTCTTTTCTTCTCATTAAAAGTTGTTAAAAGTTATTAAACTTAACTGCTGTAAAATTATTTATTAGTTTAGAGTTTTATCTTAAAATGGTAAGAATTATTAACATGGAGTTGAGCCTGTCAGAAGTGCCCATTATTTTCAAACCAGACTTACATGACTTGAGGAGACACCAATGTAAAATGTGTAACTTTCTTACAAAAAAAGTTCTCATGCTACATGGAAGTGTATTTCAGTCTGAAACCAGGCTTCTTTCGAGAACAGTTCTAGATGGGCCAAATGGCTCTTTCTATTTCCTAATTCCTGTTGTATTTTATTTTGTAGTATTGGTAGATTCTACTTATGTTTGTGAATGATATGTAATTTGAGTGCTACAAAAATTGCACACAGTAGTGCATTTTTTAAATGTAGTTTGGTGCCAGCAAATTATGGATTTGCTTCCAACATTTTAATTGATGTGAAACATTTTTTCAGAGTATTATGTTCCACTTCTTGTACATTTCGTTACAGATGTTTCTGATCAGTGTCGCAGACCAACGTCTGTCATTAGGTCTTTATATTTCTGAAACACAGCTTTATAGATTCTGGTTGCAAAGTATAACTTTTAAAAACCTTTGATTATGAAGTTCCAAGGTTTTTTTTAAGTGTTCCATTCATGCCACATTTTTTCTAAGAAATGTTCCTACTCTAAAGTGGGATTTAAATGCACTTTGTGGATCATCTTATACTTACTTCTTTTAAATCTTTTAAAATGGCACTTAAAAACTGCCTCCTGCCTTCTTGCTGTTGATGAGAGTGATGAAATACTGGTCTAGCTTAGTTTAGTTCTTTACATTTTTAATAGATGAAGTTAAAAATGTTTTTTGTATTCTTAAAGATGTTTATTGTTCACTGCCTTGATAAAGTGCAGGATAGCTTTCTGGAATTGAGAAAAGCATTTTCAGATTAAGGTGATGTAATTATTGGAGCACCTGAAAGCTCTATTAAAACTGTATTTGTTCCTGATTTAACTTCAACTAAATTCAGGTACAGTCAGGTACAGTCAGGTACAATCAACTAAATTCAGGTACAGGTGCAGAAAATAGCGAATTAGCAGGATAAGCAAACAGTTGAAGGCACAAAGGAAATTCAAGAAAACAAAATTTAAAGACTGTGCAAACAGCAGGCAGATGACATCCATTGTAAACAAACTGTTTGCAGGTAGGAAAAATGTAAAGATGGGGAAACTCTGGGCTTCAAGAAGCTGTCTAGTAAAATACTTTATTATTTATGTTGACATATTATTTTCAGTTTCTAGATAATGTGGAGAAGCAATAAAAGGTAAACAATGTTAGGATACAGTTATTTTGCTCTGGTCTGTATGTTAGGTATGTTATCTTAAAATTTTACAATGCACTACAGAGACTTCACTTTAAAAATATTGTTTACAGATGTAGTCACCGAGTTGTAAAACATTTGTTGCTGTTCTGGAATCACTCCATTTGTGTGGAGGCTCCTTTGAAGAAACAGCTGGATGAGATCCTCAAAATGCTTAAGCTGCTTGCAAATACACAGGCTAAATGGGTCAATTGGCCCCCTCATGTTTGTACTCTTTCTATAGGTGTGTTGACAGGCTGACTGATTTCAGCTCAGATTTTTTGTTTGAGAAAGCTTTTATAGCTTTAGACCACTGCTACACTTTCTGTCTGCAAGTCTGCATGTGCCTACTTGCACACTAGTTTGGAACAGACAAAACAATCCATTATAACACTCTCGGTACTTTTTGAAATTGGATATAGGGTAGTCTTTTTCAAAACACATCAGTGTCACGAGTGCCTAACATAAGATCAGTAAATGTGTTATCTTTGTAAGATTATGATTGCTATTTTTAAAGACCAGAATTTAATAAGCAGGAAAATGTCATTAAACCAACACAGACCTCAGTTCAAGCAGCCAAAATGTTTCAAGCCTTCTTGAACTGTGATGCTTAAGAAAATAACAAAAAAAAACCAGCACCACTGAAGCACTCATCCAACCCACTTGCTTCATTTAAACCCAAAAATAAATTATATCAGTGTGTCTCACCACACATCATCTTGCAAAATAGTATTTTTACTGTATTTTATATGATGTATAAAAGTGATGAGAACAGAGGCTTTGGCTGAAATCCTATGCTTGACTTTTAAGTATTGCATCACACTGGAGTGGCTAACAGGACATCATGATGTAACGTCAAGAAATGCCTCAAGTGCTGAAATGCCGGATTAGCAGAAAGAGGGGGGTTCCATCTACAGGACAGGACACAGCTCTGGAGCAGGGGGAGGGCTGCCTCTGTGTCAGAGGGCAGTTCTGCCAAAGATCCACCTTCAGGGACAACTTGGAAAGCCCTGTTGCAGGGAGAAAATGATTTTCTCATCTCTCAGACACTTGAGTTCTTGGTCGCAGGACAAGAATGTGTTCGGAATGGATGACTTGGAAATGTGGTGAAGTGTTTTGCTTTGTGGGACAGTGAGAGAGGCTTCTTTCTTCCAAACCGTACTTGAAAAGCCATTGAAATCTGTACGTAAAACGTATCATCTTAATAATATTGTTGGCTTCCCTTGTTTTTGCACTCAGGATCTCAGCAGCCAAGACTATTGTGATATTAAAAGTTGTTTTTTCCTACATTCTGTGACAGAAGGATGCCACATCTAATACACTTCAGAATGCTTTTATTTTCACAGTTGGGTAAGAATTCATCTTAATGTAATGCTATTGGCTGATTTCTGTAATAGTAGCAACAATAATCAGGCAAAGTGCCACGTTCATCTTTTGGAAAGGTCTGTATTTGTGCATTACTCCAAGTTCACGTCCTTAAAAAGTTAGCCTCGTTCACAAAATATTCCTAATATAGCTAACGGTAGAATGTGCGTCGACAGAGTGCTTCTGGTGCCTAATTTAACAAGAGGTGCCTCATGTAGAGCAAGCAATGCCATGCTAGCCATTAAAATAGTTTCTTCTTTATTTTTTTAGGCGTTCCAACGCCAAGCCCTGAAATTCTGCGCCATACTCTCAACATGCTTGTCCGGGAGAGGAAGATCTACCCCACCCCTGAGGGTTACTTCATTGTTACCCCACAGACCTATTTTATAACCCCCTCCCTTATTCGGACCAATAGTAAATGGTATCACCTGGACGAGAGGATACCCGACCGACCGCAGCAATGTACTTCCCCCCAGTCCGGGACCATCACCCCTTCCGCCTCGGGCTGCGTGAGGGAACGAGCCCACCACAAAAACCACTGCGACTCCTACAACTGCTACCGGGACGACATGCACAGCCTCCACGCCTCCACCCTCCAGAGGAAGTCCCCGAAGGACCTCAAAGATCCCTACTGCCCCCCTTCCCTCTACCAAGCGGCCGCCACAGAGAAGAGCAAGAGCACGGTGAACTTCTCCTACAAGGCGGACACCCTGACCAAGCACAAGGAAGGGGGCAGCGGCGGGGAGAAGCAGCCGAAGAAGTTCGGGCTGAAGCTGTTCAGGCTGAGCTTCAAGAAGGACAAGACGAAACACCTGGCCACCTTCTCGGCGCAGTTCCCCCCGGAGGAATGGCCCCTGAGGGACGAGGACACGCCGACGACGATCCCCAGGGAGGTGGAGATGGAGATCATCCGGCGCATCAACCCCGACCTGACGGTGGAGAACGTCATGAGGCACACGGCGCTGATGAAGAGGCTGGAGGAGGAGAAGGCCCAGAGGAGCAAAGCGGGCTCCTCGGCCCAGCACAGCGCGAGAAGCAAGAGGAGCAGGGGCCACAGGAAAAGCCATGGGAAGTCCCGGTCTCACAGTAAGACTCGGGCATCCAAGGGGGACCCCTCGGAGGGCTCTCATCTTGACCTCGCCGGCGAGCGCGATTACGACTTCTACAGCTCCTCCCTCGTCCGGTCGCCGCGCGACGGGACGTTCTCGGCGGCGCACAACGGGGGGAACTTCGTCTTGCACAGTAACCCCAGTGTCGTGGAGTCCCACTTCCCGGTCACCCCCGAGTGGGACGTGTCCGGGGAGCTTGCCAAAAGGAGGACAGAGATGCCCTTCCCAGAACCCTCCAGGGGGACCTCTCACTCCAAGGTGCACCGCAGCCACAGCCACACGCAGGACAGGAAGTCCCGCAATGAGAGGTCTGGCAAGGCCAAGGAGAGGTCCCGCTCGATGGACAACTCGAAGGGCCCGCTTGGGGCTGCCTCTGTTGGAACAGCAGAGGACTTTGAAGGCTGCAGCCCCGATGACAGGGGACAGGGCCGCTACTATGTGGACGATGGGACACTGAGGCCCTCTCAGACGCACCACTATCAAAGAATCTTGCTTTCTGCTGCTAACTTTAATGCTGAAGTCTGCGTGCCTGACGTGGGGAAGGGGGGTTTTGACGACTCCAAGGTCTGCAGCCCACTGGAACCGAACAGAACGAGAGACAGTTTGTCGTCCTTTAGTGAGCTGAAACCTTGCTCGCCCAAGCCCACAGCAGATGATTACTTTCAGTGCAATACATCAAATGAAACCGTCCTGACGGCTCCCTCCCCGCTAGTAAAAAACGATCATGATACTTTAACGTTGTCAGACGGTGTCAAAAAGGTATCGCCAGGTGACCGGCAGACCCCACTCCTCAACAGGGATTCCTGTGAGTATAAAGAGGATGCTACTAAGGGGCAGAATGGCATCAGTGTGCCGGCACCAAGCCCGACGCCAGAACCAATACCAAATGGACGCTTGATACACCAACACAATGCTGACCCTTGCAGCGCTGACAAAAGAAAAGAAATATTTAGCAAGGACACTTTGTTTAAGCCTCCTCACAACCCACTGGCGGTTGGTTACGTAGAGAACCCCTACCAGAAATCAGGCACGTTGCGGAAAGCCCAACACGGGAAATCGGCGGAGGTCCTCGGCGGCTGCGAACACTTCGAGCAGCCGGGCCTGCTCTCGGGCTCGCCGGGCCCGTCGGCGCCGCAGGGCCCGGACCAGTCCTCCGGGGCGGAGGCCGCGTTCGACTACTACAACGTGTCGGACGACGACTCGGACGAGGGGGCGCACAAGAACGCGGAGGAGGAGAAGAGCCGGGAGGGCAGCGGGACGATGCAGTGGCTGCTGGAGCGGGAGAAGGAGAGGGATTTGCAGCGCAAGTTCGAGAAGAACCTCACCCTCCTCAGCCCGAAGGAAAGCGAGAATAATAACAGCCAAAAATCTGCCCACTCCGCCCGCCTCGACAGTATGGACAGCAGCAGCATTACGGTAGACAGTGGATTTAACTCTCCACGGTAAGCAGAGGACAGCCAGCTATGTTTACATGGAAGGAGGTTGTTTTGGGAGGGGTGGGCTCATTGAACCAGTCTGTCAATAGAGGAGCTGTCCCCTTCGTTCACAGTGAAAAATCTGTATTTAAGGTTGATTACTTTTGTCCCTCCCCCCCCCCCAAAAAAAACAAAAAAACAAAAACAAACCCCTCAGGTTATTTTTGAGAAACTGCAGCCCTTCTGCAGAAACAAAAGAAGTATCCAGCACCTCACCTGCACGGCTTTTCCGGACAGTGCTCCGCTTTTCCCTCTGGAAGTTGATGTAGGAAAGATGACTTCTTGACTTGGGAGGGGATTTATTTTTTACCAGTTGAGAAATGTAGAGGCAGGCACATGCTGTGGTTGTCTTTATTGCTACAGAAGAACTTAAACAGTTCTTTTCAGGTGACAGCAGCCAGGTTTATTTCACAGGCCAATCCCAAATGAACCCCTTCCATTCATGTAAACATAGAAATGTTTTTTTTTTTTACTGTAAACTGTTTTATCTTTAATAAGGTGATATCCATTGTTTATTTGGAGATCCAGAGCAAATGCACAACATAAAGGTTTTCGTTACAGTGGATTTACAATCAGTCTGGAAAGGCTTATTGAAATCGTTGTATTCTTTGTCCTCATACCTACCTTTACCTTCTATGTTGCATTGTGTTCAGCACACACAGGGTTAAAATGTGATCCAAATGCTCTGTTGTGAATCGTTATTGTATTTATTCACTGTGACCAGCTTTTAGAGAGATGGTCCCTGAAGGTACTTGCTATAACTTTCATCACAGTGTTATACCCATGACGTTGAATAATTTGAACATGGAGGTTTATTGACAATTTAACCAAGTGCATTTTTTGTTTGCCTCACGGAAATATTTAAAGGTATCCTCTCAGAAAAAATGCTATACTGTAACTTACCTGGTGTAGTGTCCTTGATAAATCTTCCTCAGTAGCTTTATAGCTTGATCATGGCACTCAGTTGTAAACTTTCGAGTTACACCTACAGGAAAAGCTTTGACCACACGTTCTTCAGTTGTTCTCCAAAGATTGCTTGTATCTTTTTTTTTATCTTAATGACCCTTTTTACTAATATAAACTGTATTACTAGTGTTTTAATTGTGAGGTGAGCACAATCTATCACAATAGATGCACAATTTGTTCCCTTTGGCTTACACCATGCAACATAGCCCACAATGTCCATCCCAGCCTACTGCAGCAAAAAACTTGGGTCCTACCTGTTTAATTGAATGCTGTTGCATGAAATCTATCAAGGCAGGCTATAAACTAAAAAGACGTCAAGCTGTTTTTCTGCTGTAGACACAGTTGTTTTGTTCTCCCCTCTCTTGAGTTAAGGTTGCACATGTTGTGAATGTCTCTGTTACAGAAGAATCCTGGGTCTTTATGATCCACCCTTCAGGTAAATTAATGAATTGCCTTGTACTGACATGAGCCCCAACAGATGCTTTCAGTCCTGTGTGGTTCGGGAACTGTATGAAGGTTTGTTGTGAGATCAATATGCTGAAGAAAATGAATCTGGATGTTTGCTGCTGAAAAGGAGGTGAAATAAGATCAACTAAAGAGACGTTTGTTCTGAATTGTAAAAAAGGACCTGTTTCATTGTAATTAATTTTCTAGATCTAGCATGTATCTAAGAAACCTTTCTTTGTCTTTTGTGACTGTGTGAACTGTTCAATTATTGGTGTGTTTAAATTCTGCCTATTAAAAAAAAATGTTTTTACATATAGCATCTTACTGTACCTGTATTGTTTGTCTCACCTACTGTATATAGCCATCCTTTCTGTATCCGAGCTCCTCCCTGCACTGGCCCTCACCCCGTGTGCCTGCCCCAGCTCAGTCCCTTTCTGACAGTACTTGACCACTGTCAGTCCACGGTCTTCATGTCGAGCTGCTCTTCTGCATGTGAGCCCTGCTCCCCAAATGGAATTTTAATGACAGCTCAGTTGCCACCCCTCAATGAAAGCAGCACTCTGTGATGGAGCAAAAGCATGCATCGTTTCGGTAATGTGTTTGGCTTTTCTGTAAATGGATTCGATCACACAGAATCCGCTCTGTACCTCAGGACCTTCCCCCTGAAGGATCTGTCCGAGGTTCTGAGAAAGTTTTAGAGCCTTTTCTTTGTTTGGAAGCTCTGTGAGTCCAAGCTAGAGGGTAGTGGAGGTAAAGGAACAGCGTCGTAGTAGAAGCTCTGATTGGAAATGGGACAAGACAGGTCAGAGCCCGAAACTGACAGGTACTGCATCCTTAGAGTTCAAACTCACACTGTGTGGGTGCAGCTGTGGTTCTGAGAGACGGGTTTCAGTGTCGCGTCGAGGGTTTTGGAAGAGAGAGGGGTCAAGACCTTTTGCTTGGAAGAATTTCGGTTACTGCTGGTGACACAACTGAATTATTTTCTAGTCATGTTTTTCTAGTAGTAAATAAACACAGTTCTAAAATTGTGCTTTTGTGCTACAATGTTGTTCGTCCGTAAAAGCTCAGCTTTAATAATGAAAACAATGGCAGCAATGTTTGTTCTCATTTTGAAATGCACATATCTTACACATTTTTTTTTCTTATCATCTTTACCACAGCCAACTTACATTCTAACCTTGTTTCTTGGCTTAATTCTAAAAGACAAGGTGTCGTACATGAGCGAAGTAATATCTTGAGTTTAGGATTTATTTGGAACTAAAAGTAACAAGACACCACAAAGTAAATGTCTTTCGTGTTGTCAGAGAGCAGCACAGACCAGTGCAGCTGTGATTACCTCAGGAGGTGTGTGACTTCATGTAAAGTCCAACCACTTCAGAAACCTCACACCTGTTTTGAGTGGTTTTGGTGATATTCTTCATTTTAAAGAAACTTGCAAAGCCTGAGTAATTGACCCCCTAAAGCTCAGTCTCACGTTTGATGTTTCCAAAAACAGCTGCTTAAAAGTAGTCTTTAACTATGATGAGATACCCACTGCAATTGTTCATCTTCTCAGACATATCTTTGTAACCAGATTTGGTCCACGACTGATCCGTTTTTCAAGCACTTGGTACATTTGTGGATGTTGCCTTTTGTCCATCTCCTTGCCATTTTTACTTTCCTTTAAATCACCTTGGCATAGTTGGTATCTTTTTTGAACTTCTATATCATTGTTCACTTTTAAATGCAAAGCGCCTTGCAAATTCTAAACTAGTACAACGATGTGAAGAACGTACTGGATTCATAGCGGAGAATTCACTGTCCCAGATTGCCACACACTGGCGATGCTGTTGAAAGCATTGGACGGTCTGCACGTGCCTCAGATCCTTGTCTGTGACAGAAATGTGCCCTGACTGTAAATGCTCCCTTCCTCGTCCCCCACACTTCTTGTGTTTAGGTATCGGAAAACCTGAGATATATCATTTGCTTAAATTGTTAGAAGAAATTGCATTTTTTTGTCAAGTAACTGAATTGCAGTGTTTGTTCCCCAGAAAGTGTTGTGTAAAAAAAAAAAACAGTTACATAGAATGAATGGTGATGTTCAGATATGTACAACGTCTTTAAAGGAAGAGATTGACGAGAAATTGAGCGTGTAACAGAGACAGCCCTGTCCATACACGGTTTTCTTTGGCACATTGTGGGTGTGGTTACTGTATAGGCACTTTGGTAAGTTTGGTGGGCAGCGTTCCTGTTTACACGTTAAATTCCGTTGAATGTTTTGCTGTTTGCTTGGGCCGTAGAAGAAGTCATAAGTCATGGTTGTAGTTGTGGTAGTGTTCTCAGCTGGCCTGGCAGGGGGTACAGAAGGTTCTGAAAGCTGGATGAAATGAGGTCAGGTCCATTTCTGAGCCTCAGCGGCTCATGTGTCCAGAGCTCATTCAGGTTTCTGTGGTGTTCGATGACTCCCCACTCCACCCCAGAATCCTAACCCATTTCATCAAAGACCTGACTCTCCAGCAACACTGGTCCCGGAGCAGCGGGGCTAAAGTACCTCACTCAAGGACAACAGCAGTGTCTGCAGCAGGGACTCGAACCCACAGCCTGTCAGTGAATCCAAGGGCTCATTCATTCGGCTGCACTGCCAACACTGGATGAAATTAGAGATTAGTTCTAATAATATACTATACATTTCACGTTGATGGAAAGCTTTGTAATGGGACATCACATCTAATCTCTGCTCATTAATTTCAGGACTAAACAAGCAGTCTCAAAGATCCCACAGTTCACTACCTTTTAATCATAAAACAACATGACACTACAAGTTCACGTTTTAGGCTTTTGTTTTTTGGTCATATTCTCTAGTCTTATGATGGAAAAGCTGTTTCTCCTTTTACAATGTTTTATGTGTTTTAAAAAGTATTGCATGCTGTTAAAACTCCAGCATATCTGAAGACATAGTGGTACAGTAGCCACTGTCTCATACTGCGAGAAAAATCCCATATTCTCGTAAGCAATTGCCTGTTCCTTCTTGGGAAGTGCAAATTGGCAGAGCAACAATATCTGCTGTTGCCGTCATTCCTAAATTTCCCATCTTTCAGCCAAATTCCCAGCTTTCTTTGAAATGTGGTGAAGAAATGCAGTGTGAATGCTTCCACTCAGTCATTGGAAGGCTAAACTGGCATGTTGGGTTCAATACTCTGTGTTGGGGTTCCCAAACTAGGCTGTTCAAAGTGGGAGACATTGGTTTCCACATATAATTTACAGTTGTTCTAGAATTAATCCATTTCACTTCCTTACTGCAATGTAATGAAAACCTGGTGTACTTTTCTACGGAGTTATAAATCAAAAGACATCATTGCTAATGCCATGAGCTTTAGGTTCCAAATGGTGCAAAAAAAATTAATAAACCAAGATGACTTATGAACAGACTGCAATCAGCTTCTAATTTTAGCCTTACAGAGCCATGCAGTTTTCTAGATGACTCATGAAATTAGCAGTGATGTCATTGTTTCTGAAAATGGACCTGTTAGCTCTTGCCTCGACAGGAGATTTAGGCTATCTGAACGATGTACCTCACCGAGTTACAACAGCAGGTTTTAATTCTTTTCCCTCATGTGGGTAATTTGTCAGCCTTTTTTAAAACCTATTTCCCGAAAAATGGTCACCGCAGGTTGATTATCTTCCTGTTAAAAAGAATCTCATGCTTGTCCTCACAGTGGTTCCCCTCTGTATTTATGACTCCAGATATGCTGGGGTGGATTAGAGGTCAGGGCTCTGAATGCAAAACTGGAAGTTTGTGGGTCCAAATCCTGAGGGGTGTCCTTGACTGAGGTATTTCGCACAATGTTGATCTAGACAATGACCTGCTGGGAAAATGGGGCTTTAGTTTGTCACTGTAAATTGGGGGTTTTCCAGTTCCTAGCAGAACAAAATAAAGGAAAATGTGCTTTTCATCACCAAAGCATCCTAAAGCACTTTTAAGGATAGGATAGGACCCTCTTCCACCCACCACTGAGGTGCAACACCTAGTGGGTGGACACACAGCACCCATTCTGCACCAGCAAGCCCAGCAAAGAGCAGCTCAGGTGAAGAAATGAGAAATGGCTTCAGCTGAATTCAGAGGAAACGTCAGAATGGCCAGATTCCCCAAGACCAGACAGGAATTTAGCCAGGACACTGAAATCAACAGCCAAACTCTTTTAACAACAGCTCTATAGGGTCTATACTGATTAAGTCAGTCTGGTTCGACATCTTTTCTGAAGGACAGCACCTCGAACAGCATTAACACTGTGCTGGGAATAACTGATCTTGTTCACTACTCACAAAGCCACTTAGAGCAGCCACCTGGTGTTTCTTAGAGGTGTCCCAACCTCGCTCTGGCCAGGGCCCGATTTATTCAGCTTCTAGGTTAAAAGGGGGCTGTGCTGGTGCCTTTTGCCTTTTGCTATCAGTCTGACAAGTATCCCTGGATTAATTTTCGATGTGAGATAAAGGATGGTTATTTCTTTAATTTCAGTAGGTTTGCATGCCATTGAACATTGCTTGCACCCACTTGTCTGCAGCTTGCAGTAACCACATGAAAGTTCGTCACAGTCATCTTGATTTTCAGCTGGGAAAGGAGGGAAATTGTAGTGTTAGTGTTAGGAAAGTATGACTTTGATTTCAATTTGGCATGTGTGACATTCTAGCTTTCAGAGTGAGGCAGCTGGCACAGTTCAATGTTCTCTTTGCTGATATAATAGGCATCACGTGTGGCAACTTTAGACAAAAGCGATAAAAGAAATCTTATTGCTTAGTCTTATCTATTTGACGTCCACATTTTGTGTCCTCTGACATCTACCTAAAAACATGAAAAACGGGAAAATGTATTTCCTTATTCCTTATTATATTTGTTCCAGAACAAAAGGTCTTGAAATGTAGCTTTTCTGTTGTTGGTCTTGATAATTTTATTTGGTTTCTTGGTTTATGTTACAAAATACTGAATTTGTGTTAATCCCATGGCAGTCCCCACTGTTGGAGGTTCCTCATCCATCCCTCTTCTAACTGCTTTAGCCAAAGCAGTGTCGCAGTTAAAGTCTCAACCCCTTTGGCTTTAGTTTAAAAATGAATTTACTGATGCTGGGTTTGCACACACTTGTGCTAGGAGAGCCAGAGGAGCTTTTCTTCAGATGGCATTAGTCCTTTACTTCTGTGTGCAAGGATGAAAAGAAAACTTAATCTCATAAATTCAGAATCACAGTCGTCTACTGTATGTGTGTGCTTGTATAGAAAAACTGGGCTTTTCTGTGTCAATCTTTGAAAATTCTTGGTGTTTTACAAGTAGTCTTGTTTTGCAATGGAGTGCGCCGTCAGAAAAACACCTTGTGACCCAAAGGAACAGGAGGCTAAACTCCTGATTTGTATTTATCTCTGGTTAGATGTGCCCTGACGTGTTCCTGTGTGTCTTTGCATGTTCCTTGTTATTCCGAGGTTCCTTTTGTTCAAAAAGCATCGCTCCCTGCTGTATGCTTCTGCACCCTTTGCAGGTCTACCAATCACTAACCCCTCTGTCCTTCGGAAAAGTTCCACCAAGACCAAGACCAAGACGTCCATCCACGTTGGGTTTTATATAACGTACTGTATGATGTACACTGATCATACATACCTACCTCTCACTTCCTCACACGGTGTAGTTTTGACATCTTGTGGCTGAAAAGAAAAGGGAGATGTTTTTGTTTTTACAAGAGGGGAGCACTGAAACAACTTAACTACGGCCAGTGTCTGGGAAGCATTACTGCAGCCATATGTGAACAATCAAAGCCAGAAGTCTTACTCATATGACATCACATGCAAACACAGGAAGCCCATTATAAAATGTTGTTTTCTTTCCTCTTGTTTTTTGTTTTGCTTTCTTGTTTTCCCTCTCTTTCTCCCTCCTGTAGCACTCGAGAGAGTCTGGCCTCCAACACCTCCAGCATTGTCGAAAGCAACAGGCGTCAGAACCCAGCTTTAAGCCCAGGCCATGTGGGAATGAGCAGCACTCCGTCCTTCAGCTTCCGAACAGCTGCAGACACCCCCGCCGCCGAACCCGAGAAACTGCAAAAACCATCAAACTGCTTAGCTTCCATTACCAGTGTTTGAAAGCCATCCGCTGTCAAGGGTTCTCTCTTAAACCATAAACCGCACCGGGACTGTTAGAATTGGGCCATAAAAGAGGGATCGATTCCAGACTGTCTAAATGGATGTGAGATGTACAGCATATGTAAAACTTTAAAAACAAAAACCTAAAGCTGATTGTGGTTGCTGACTTGAAAAGTAGCAAAATAAAAAGCTAGATGGAAGCTTTTTCCCCCCTTAAAAAAGGCTCTTCATTCCCTTCATCTGAGCTGACCATAAAAATGAAAGTGCAGCTTTTTCATATTTCTCGCTCACTATGGGCCAGTAATTTGTTTGCCTACAGACAGCATGTCATTTTCATTCACGTACAGGACCGTGTTTTGATTGTTTGTGACCTTGACGTTTTAAGTTCCGTTTTTTTTTTCCTGTTCTTGGAGAATCTCAGGTCACGGGTGGTTATACTCTTAACACATGCTTTTTTTTTTTTCTTTGCCTCGTGTCACTATTCAGGGTTTGCAACAGTTCACCAGATGGGTCTGTGACCAACACAGGCGCACTCTTCTGAAGCGCTGATACAGGTGCTCCTTGGTGTCGCTGTATGGCAACACAACAACAGGCAGCAGACGCAAAGTTCCAGATCTGTATACATCAACGAAAGTCAAAATTACTACTAGGGGCAAATACATTTACGGGTCTGCTTAATGTTACTAGAAACAGTCCAGCTGCTGCTGCTAAGATTTTCTGCGTCTTTTGGTCTACATCCGGTCGAGCGAACTGCCTTTGAGGAACTTGTGTTTACAGGGGAATCTGGTCTTTTTGGCGCCATGTTTATTTGTAAAGGGATAGCGGAAGAACAGGGAAGGCTGTGGGTTCAAAACCAGCAAATATGAAGGATTCCTCTTCCACGCAGCTAGTTTTTCCTCTGCTAACTCGGTGGGGTTTTTCTCCACCACCCCCCTCCTGTCGTCTGCTTGTCCCATTCTTTCTTTTTTTCTTTTTTTTTTTTCTTTCCGTCGGCCCACTAGCCCAAATGACAACTGGGTGTCCAACCACGGGACACGTGGACACAGCTCCTCTCAAGGACCAGCTGGGGAGGAGCGCCTCTTGTCTGCCTGCTGCTTGTACAGCTGGAGCAGGCCGCTCCCCCACAGGAGGCCTCGTTTGATTCCATCTTCCAGGGGAGGGGGATTGATTGATTAAAGCAAATGGCATGTCATGAACTGAGCCCTTCCTGTCACCCTCACCCCCCCCACCCCACCCCAGGCAGGCACAGGACTGCCACCAGTCTCAAGAAAAAGGCCCAGTGCCCTCTTCGTTTCTGACAATCGCAGCTGCCCAGGCAGCATTTGTTTCTAACAAGGTGACTGAATTGACGTTTTTCAGGTGCTAAAACTCACAGTGTTAAAATTTACGGTAGTATCTCCTGTAGGCGGTTATCGTGTGCAGGAACTGCAGCTGGCATGGAAATGTTTTAAACCCCCCGTTGCTCTTTGAGCCAGACTCCACGCAATCCCCCTTTGGATGAAATGACCATATGGTGTTTTTGTGTTATATAGTACATACACACATGCATAACTACCTCCACAGCGTTCGTGACCGCAAGAAGATGAAACTTAAAAGCTTAGATTCTTTATAAGACAATATCACGCTGTTTTCTGTGAATGTTGTTGTACAGTCATGGATCTTTTTCAAGAGGACTAACTGAGATTCAGTTTTTAATGAAGTGCTGTAGTTAACCAGTTTCTCTGTTCCCAGCCATGTTTGATCTGCTTTGGGCTCTTAAATTTGTATTTTGAGTCCCACTGAATAATAAACTCCAGATTTATCATTTTGCTTTGCTTACATCTTCTGTCCCTTTGTAAAGGTGGATTTAGAGCTGAAATGCAAAGGTTGCTCTCCACCTGCTGGACACTGGACTTGGACAATCCTCTTGTTTCACACCTGAAGCCGTGACCCATCTTAGATCTTCCCTTAAACTTGGTTTGGGACTTTTCTGCTGTTTGGGTTTTCTGTAATAAAAAACAACTTGCCTCTGGACTGTTATCCAACACACCTATTGTCAGACCATCAGGGTTTAGCATCATTGAATAGTTGTACTTAAAATGGGATTGAAAACAAAATTCTTCTCTTACGTTAATAATGCCTTGCCTTTGCTCAGAAATAGGTCTGATAAATCTGCTTCTGTTTCATTCTAAATAAAAAGGTGGTTGTTGTAGAATATTAAAGCAATTGTCTAAAAACTATGTTCACCAGCCTAGGTTGTCAAAAATAGACTAATGTATGCACACACAGACCCAAACTTCCCGACTAAAGGTTGCAACTTGCAAGATGTTTCAAAAGGAATTTGTTTTAAAAATGGTAAAACTGTGAAATTTAATTGCAAGTATGGGTGTACTGCATTTTAACAAAACATAATAATGTAAAACTAAAATTGTATTGCATATGTTGAAATAGTTTGTTTTAGTAGAGAAACAACAATGCTAATACTTTCTCAGTGAGTTTGTGAAACATTTCCATATTGGTAAACCCTTTATAGGTTTTTTTTTTCCTGTCGGGCATTACAGATTTTTTTTTTTAATGAATTCTAAATTAGAAACTTGAAATGAGGCTTTGTGCTGTCAGACAAGCTTAATAAAATGACAATGATTGACCACATCAGTGATTCTTTAAAATGGAACGTAGGAAAAGTTTTAATTGCTGTCAGTATCGGAGTTCGTTAAACCTGCTGAGGCCAGAAGTGCAGTGAGTCAGAACCCGCACTTTGTGAATTTTTCCACTTTCAAGACCCAGACAGCACTGCACTTCTGTTTCTGTCTGAAATCTGTTTGCGCCATTGTTATGTTTTCATTATTCTTCAATCAATGTGAAAGCATAATCAAAATCTGAGAGCCAGCTCGGAGAAAGAGGTCTTTTCTGAGGATGAATTTAACGGTTGCACTTCGTGTACCACTTCAAAATGTTGTTTTTTGTTTTCCTTTGAAAGTCAGAAGGGAGTACTGCAGCCGAGCCTGCCTTGTATAAACACGTTTGCACTGAATTGCCTGGTTCCTGGTAGCTGTAAAGCCCATCCAGAAGGATGCTCTGTTTATACTGTATAATATTTCATATGAAATAATGACAGTCCATGAAATGTCTTCCCTTAACATTACTGATTTCTAACAGCGTACTATAACATTGTTTTTAATTGTGACAGTGTATCATACTGTAAATGATGTTTATCTGTCATGCTTAGTATAATAACTTAAGAGAAATGAGGGATTTTTTTTGTAATGTCTATAATATTTGAAAGTCCCTTTTGTGTAGTAATATGGTGTTTACTGTTGTAGTGTATGTGATATACCCTTTGGGGATTGTGTTAACTTTTTAAGACAATAAAATAACGTTTGGTTATATCTTTTGAATGGATTGGTTAATTTGTAGTCTCAGAAATGGCGAATAATCAGGAATAGGAATGGTCGTCTTCTTCTGTCATCAGGGATGTTTTCCTGCCTTGGGCTCTGTGACTGCGAGACAGGTTTGGAATTCCTAACCTCAGCCAGGTTTAAGATGCTTTCTGCTAACGGATGGATGAAAACGAAGATGCCTAAACACATGAAAACTATAAATCTGTATTCAGTTCATACACTGCTTCCACTGTTAAAACCTCAAGTATGTACAGTATTGGTTATGTTCAAGATTCGATAACTGATGAAGGAACCTCATTTAATATTTTTTTTATGTAGTTGTCCATTTCAGCAATTTGTACAGTAAAGGAACAAGTAATAGGTTTATTCCATGCTGAATAGAGAAGAAAAACAACACAACGTTTCAGCCATGGAGCCTTCTTCAGTTTGTACCCATTTAGTTTATACAGCTGGGCACGTTACTGAAGCAATCTTGATGAAGTACCTTGCTCACGTGTACAACAGCAGTACCCTGCGTGGGAATAGAACCTACCACCACCTAGTTATGATCCCAGAGCCCTAAACACTACTTAACATTTGTTTTCTTCAGCTGTTGAACCAGAAAACATCTGCTGCATATCTGTTTTCCAATCCAGAAAACAAAGGATGAGGTCAATTTAAAGCAACATTTGTCTTATTACTCAGCATAAAGAGAATAAATGTGTGCACAGCTGTTTAACCAACTTGAGAGTGCTTTTTACTCTTTCCATGCATTTTGTAGCATGCAAATTAATCATCATCTATTATAATCACCCTTTTGCAATTTGCATTGACTCATTTTACTTATGAGATGCAACTTGCACAATTTTTCTTGTTTTGCAAACAAAAGATTGCAGGTGTTAATTAAATCAAAAGGTTAAGATAATGTTTTTACTTTCCAGTATAAACAATATTTTCACATGTGTATTGTGCACAATGTTGAGTTGTTTTTCTAAGGTTTAGTGTAACACTCAGTGCCTCAGAAGTCTGGTCTTTTTCTATATACTGTCATACTGTACAAGAGAAATCAAGCTGTGGATGTAAGTGATGATGCATGTTAAATCGCGCATACTCTAAAACAACAAATATGATTAGGATTTTTTTAGTACTGAGATACAAGAATCAGCTAGCTGGTCTAAAAGAAGTCCAACTTAAACAGTAGGAGTTACTGTATCTAACAAAATATGGGCGAGATGAATAAGTGATGCATCCACTATAAAAGTGGACCTCAAGCGCAAAAAGGTGATGGGCTTGGTGCTGAATCCCACCTTTTATTTTCTTTATTACTTTCTGCCTGGCTCTTTAGGAAAATCCAGTTGGTTTACAGTAACTGACGCCTTAACACAGTTCGTTTAGATTGGACCGTGTGTACAGCACCGAGACCCAACCAAGCGAAGAAGATAGGAAAGGATACAAACGAGAGGCAACTGTTTGGTCCATCTAGCCATTTAGGTAGCGTTAATGGTTTGTTGTTGTTTTTTTTTTTATGTATCGGCTTCCACCACATGGATGGGCTACCTTGTTCCAGACTCCCACAACCCTTTGGGTAGAGAAGTGCCTCCTGTTCTCAGTACAAAATGCACTTCCACGTAGTTCCTTGTATCCCCTGGTTTGATCATTCCGAAGAAACCTGCTGGGTTGACTTTGTAACCAAGGATTCTGAATACTTGTGTCGCAGTGTTCCCTATTGAGGAAAATATCGAGTATGTGTTGCTCCCTCTTCCCCACCTCTTGCAAGAGCATCCAGCGAACACCATGTCCCAGGCCTACAGCAGGCGTTTGATCGGAAACAGAGGAAATTGTAGGGTTACTTGCCAACTGCAAGAGATGGAAAGGCTGTTGGGCTTCGGTCCCTACTGAAGCACTCGGGCTTAATGTGTGCACTACGGTTGGAAAAATAAATATTATATTGTGGTTTTTCTGAAAACTAGAAATCTTGTGGCTGGTAAATCATGCTTCAGTTATTTGTGAAGCACTCAAAAGAATCTAAGAATAAATTCTGCTGGAAAAGACATGTCAAAACAATCAATACCCTGCTAAACCCTGATTTAAATCTGAAATGAGACCCACATCCTCCATGTGCAAATTTCAAACTCTTTGCTTGGAAAGATCCAGGAAACCTCGGGTGTGACAAAATCTATTACAGGAGTAAAGAATATTTTTAAGAATATATATACGGTAATGTTACCACTTCTTTGGACTGGGTTGCTCTGAGCCCAGATCCAAATTTATCTGAAGTCTGTGTGGACAGTTGACAGGGCTCAAGCCCAGAGATGGTGTGCATCGAGCTGTGCTGAACAGTTTCAACAAAGTGGGGTGTGTAGGTGAACCCTCCTTCTCTGTTTACTCTTGGTAAACCCGTGTGAGAAGATAGCAGTATGCTTGTCATTTTCTTAACCATATAATAGCGTATTTCAATTCTTAAATCCAAGATTTTTAGAAAAATTTATCTCACAACAATTTATTTAACTTTTAAAAAAAGTATACATGGCAGTTTATCAAATGAGGGACTAAAGAATACACTTTACAAATGTAAGATCTGAAAGGCCACTCCTCGTTTTTATAGAATAATAAGGTGAAACCAGGACTAGCTCTTTAGGCACTGTGTCCAAAACACACAGATGGAACATACAGGAAACAAAAACATTTTAATAACCAGGGATAATATCCAATATCAGGTTGCAGCAGAAGATTCAAAACTGGCATCACAAAGCAAACTTTCACTCACTTGAAATCATTCACTTCTTATATTCATGTGTATACACCATCTACACCCACAAAATTATTGTGAAGCTTATTTGCTAATTGTCAAGACCACAGACACTGGCTTGCCCAGACAAAGCCTTTTAAGATCTCAGAGTGAAAACATTTTTAAAACCTTTTAACCTATCCATTCAACCTAGAAAAATCAATTTTAACAGATATACACACCACAGCAACCCCTCAAAATAAAACATTTAAATGTTAAGGAATAAAAATGTAACTAGAGAACTTTAGGCCATACACAGAAATAAAAATCAATTCAAAAACTATTCATTTCAAAAGTGAATGTTTTTTAATGACTTTCTTTTTAATGCTTGAAAGGAATAGAGGAATTCAAAGGAATTATTAGTCCCTTAGACAATTTAGGATGATTGTAGCTTGTGCAAAGTAAATTTACTAAAATGCATGAATTGGATTAAATTTATATCCAGTAGTGCTGGGAAGAGAAAAGCCAAGAAGCCGGTGGATTAATCTGCCAGCTCAGTCACTCCTAACAAGCGCCCTGGTTCAGAAACAGTAATAATCCTTCAGTTCTTCGTCGTCAGCTAAAACGGCAGTGCCTGTCTACCAATCTTCCATCTCCCAGCTCAAAGCAAATCTACATGGATGAAACATGCTTTGATGTAAATATTCTGGTCGGAAATGAATGTATTGTATAGCCTTGCTGAAGTTTGCCTTCAAGGTGTTAAGACAAAGGGGTGTGGCTCTCAGACATGACTGAGCTCAAAGCTACCTGAGACTCTGCGAGCCAGGTGGTGGGACGCCTATGCCTTGTGAACAGATGGAAGGGAGGAGACCTCTAGAGCCTAATCTGCAGCTTTGAACATGAACCTTTGATTCTTTTGAAACATCAGGAAAAGTTTAGTCATCAATACTAAGTCAGAAATTGCACACACTTTATTGAGTTGAGTGGAGTAAAAGTGAAGATTATGTGCTTCAAAGTTAAGAAATTAACCCATAACACCTTAGCTTTTGTTGCCTCAGAAATATTTGTCCTTTTAACCTTACCTATAGCTTGATAAAATACTTAACCCTTACTGGGCTGTACATTTTGTAGGGTTCTGGGTTTGTGACGAGACGTGTGTGGGTTCAGATCCCAGGTGAAACCTTGCCATTGTAACCTTAAGTAAGATACTTCACCCAAATGGGTGTAGTAAAAATAAAAAGCTGTATAATCCGATCCAAATGTAAGAGGGTTTTAGATAAGAGTGACAGCCAATTGAAAATGAATAATGCTGAGCAAGACAGTAAAACAAGACAGTTAAATTGTTACTGCACAAAAGCAAGTTGTTAGTTTCAAAGAAATATTGGTGTCATTGTGTTTCTGAAATCCTGGGGCTGGTCTCTGTCATGAGCAGGAACACTATCGAATTCAAGTAGGAACAAATGCAGCTTAAAAGCCAGGATTTTAAAAGCGAAAGGATGATTTTCTGCCATTGTGTTTCATTAACCATCAGTTACAAAACCCTGTACTGTCCAGATATAGTCAAGCGGATCATTTTTTGATTTAGCTAGACACTAAAAGCACACAGGCATTTTAACATACTGTACCTGAAAAATTCATTAAATAGCTGAGTTATACATGATGGACAGGTGTTTCCTCTTGAGATATAAAATAAGACAGTCTCATCAGCCTATTTAATTAATAAGTGACTTAATTTCTCCGGTAGGTAAAAACATCACTCTTCAAATTATGTGTGGTCATTGAGGTTAACAGGCCAGCAGGGTTTGTACAGTCAATATCAGCAGCACAGGACTTCAAGAAGAAATCTTTCTCATAGCAGATTTCATACTGTAGTCATCATGGATCCTATTCAGTCCTCAGTCCTTGAAGAGGTGCACAAAGACACCAAATACCAACCCAGTACGTCTTTGGAAGATGAGTGTAAACTGGAGCACTCACAGGAAAACCCATACGAACACAGTGAGACCATGCACTAATTGAAACAGTTAAACATCTTTTTGTCCTATACTCACCGGATCTGCCTTCAGGTCTCGCCTCACACCAGTCGAGCTCCTCTGACTCATCGCCCACCGTGCTGTTCATCTTTGGTCTCACTCCAGAGCTCCCGGCTCGCTCGCAGGAGAAACAGTTCCTACTGAAGGACAGGCACCTTCTCTGGCCTGTAATCCACACCACAGGCCACTGGTGACGTGACCCGGGCCGGAACGAGAGTGCTTCTGGATCTTAGAGCTGAAACACCACTCTCAGCAAGCGCCTTCGTGGTTGAGACACTCAGAAGACGTGTTCAATCCTCCTGCACATGATTGAAAGAGAGCAACAAATCCATTTGCAGGCCATCTCAGCAATTCATGGCCTACATCAGCCCCTTACTTAGCATGACTGCACCAATCAATTCCTTCCAGGTGCTGATGCTTTAAAAGAGATTTAGAAAGAGCAAGCAGGACCACGATTGGACACCCCTGGTTTACAATACAAATAAATTCACCACTACCTCACCCGAGAGAAAGAAGTATTGGAATGGCAGGTCACAATTCTCCTTAATAATAGTAATAATACAAAATTCCTTACACTTATATAGCGCTTTTCTGGATTCCATTCAAAGCGTTTTACAGGTCAAGGGGACTCCCCTCCACCACCTCCAATGTGCAGCCCCGCCTTACATGCGGGCGTGTGTTAACCCTAAATTTCTAAAAGGGTCAATTGATCTCTTATGTCACCCACAGCTAAGGACTAGTGCAATGACAAAAACTGCCAGCATCCGTCCCGTATTGAGAATCGGCGCAGAATGATTGCAGTGCACAGCGGAGAAAGAGAATAGATACCGCAATACTGATACAAGCCCGCCAGGGGGAGCTCTAGGATAAGGGTGAGAAATGGTTTTTCGCAGTAACAGCTGCAGAGCTGCGGTATCTGTGCTCCCAGCTCTTTCTGGGCCTTTGTATTCCTACATATAAAAATATACATGAGCTGTTTACCGAGTTTGTAAAGTACTGCATTACAAAAATAACGCGCCCCTTGAGAGGCTTTTTAAAGACCATTTATGTGACCCTCACCAGAACTGACTAAAAGTGGATAGATTAAATACTGTAATATCCCACTAAAATACAGGAGCTAGCGGTGCACAGTGAGAGACAAAAGCTTGTTTTTTTTTAATGGAAATTGCAAAACTTTAAGAACAGGTGCGGTCAGGGCAGCAGCTTAGTTAGTGCTTAGTTCTGAAACTTTTCAGTTGTGGGTAGGGCACAGTGAGACATCCTCTCTCTGAAACAGTAATGCATGAAATGTAGGAGGAAAAAATGTGAAATAATGCTCAAATCTTTTTCATACAGACACATTTATTGTGCCTGTTAAAAATTCTGATTAATACAGAATACAGGGTTGCTATTTTTCTCTTCCATAATGGCAAACAAGGGAAAAATATATAGCCCTATTCTAACCTTTTTTTCCCATTTTAACACAACAAAAGTCTTGACATCTGGGGAAAAATGAAGACATCATAACTTAGTAGAAGTCTTCTTTGGTTGCAAACTTTATCGATTTTAACGAGACATTTTGAAATAAAATAAAAGTAAAAAAGTTCAACATTATTTCTCATGGCCATAAATACAGCCACACACACAAAAACCCATTTCAAGCAACGCTCCGTGTAAATTCAAAACATCTACCGGTAATGCGTGGAACGAAGGACAATCTTTAGCCTAAAGTTTAGGACTGTTTGTTTACGCAGTTCGAGCAACGAGCAAAAAACAAACAAAATCCCGGACAGTTTGGGGAATTTTATTAATGCCGGTCGGACCGATATTTTAGGTCTCAAAAAGAGGACGTCTGCTCACCATATTTAGGCATATATGTCTTCTAAGGATTGCACTCTATAAATACGAGCTTTTTATTGTATTTGAATACTCACGGTAACGCTACAAAGTATAGAAAATACAAGCTGGTAAATCTCATCTCCTACCTTAATTGCTTGCAGTAAGCAGCTCTAAACCGGGAAGTTCAAATGGCTGCAATTCCTCTTCTTCCCAGTAAACGGCAGCGCTGTAACATTTTCTGGACTGATCCTCACTGTGACTACAGCACTGTTTTTCGCTATTTCCCTACATGCTTTTCTCAGACAACCGGCCAAAAACTCATTGCTAGCAGTGCCTCCAACATCATCAAAAATCATCATCATTATAATAATTATATTACTGATCAATCTAATAATAATAATGAATTTCAACTGCTCGTTGAATTCTTGCATACCTGGGACTTATCCTTGCCCATTATTCATGGGGATCAAGTCACCTGAATTCACACGTTTTGGAAATCCAATCAAACGGAGAGCGGAATAATGTTTTTTAAAATTTAAAACAAGGCTCGTGTTGTCATCTCCACTGTTCCCACTCGAAATGCAAGCATGAGTGCTCATCACAGTCCTGCTTGGAAACAGAACCCCTCACGATACCGTGACTGTATGGTAGTGTGTACAAAAGCTTTGCTGATAAACAATTCATTAAAGGTCCATGTGATTTAGTACACCAATGCCATCAGCACTGGTGATAAAGTCCAAATATAAAATATCAGCTTCCCAGAATCAATTTCTAAATAATTTACAACATTTTCAATTGTGGGAGATTCCACAAACACAAGAGCACAAGTATTCCAGACCTTCTTCAACTTTTCTTTTTCAGATTCGTCCCAGCTAAAGGGTATTAGAGAACAGAGGGTTAGTGGCTTGTAGCAATTTTCATGGTCCCATTCAAGGTTTTCATAACATTCCCAAAGCGAAATGTTTTAACAGTGCCAGCATGCAAAGTTGTATTACTTTCACACAAGGCTGATGGTGAGGTAGGGAAACGTAGTTCTTATATCTTTCCCAAAAGGCAAAATCAGTTTAAAACATGGGATACCCTGCGGTCATTCAAAGGATGGGGCAGTGGTTGTTGGCAACATCCAGTTTTTCAGAACCAAAGAGGGATATGTTCTGTAATGAACAAATGAACAAATAATGAATAATGAACAAAACTTGAGCCAGTGGATTAATCATTCTGTAACCCATTCTTTTTTCACTCTGAAGGATATGTCCACACCTCATTACCCTCAGACTTACACAGCACAAACAACGCTCAGTCCGCATGTACTGTATGTGTGTGAACTTGTGCTTCTCTACACCACTGTACAAAAGGCGTTCTGCACTGTTCTGCTGCCTTTTAGCCTGCAGAAACAATTCTGTGGCAAACACTGACTGCAACTGTAGCCATTTTGGCAAACAGGTAGTCCCAACAGATGTATTTTGTAAGACAGAAGCATTTCAGCTTCAATATGACTGTGCACGGGGGACCACGTGTGAACTGAGCTGTTGAGAATGAGGTGCACTCAACATTTATTCAGCTACATTTGAGTGGTGTGATGAATTACAGTATTGCCAGCAAGACCTCATAGTGGCTGCTCTTGTGCAGCTGGCCAAGAGAAGTTGTGACAAAGGTTTTGAAGAGTGTTATTAACTGTTTAGACCCACAGACAATTTCAATCTTGTTATACATTATACAGAGTGGCATTGAAATCACAATGAATATTAGAGCCAGGAGTATTTGTAACTATAGTAATGCCTCTCAGTATACACTCGATATAACTCGGACATGTGACTTTGTGTAAAATTCAGGCAAAGAGAGGAACAATTTCCTCTGATAAAGAGCCTGACAGGAGCCCGTGAAATTGAAACTATGCCATGGTACAGAAGGAGGAAATTGAACAGACCTGCATTAAAATTACCATTGCTCTCGATTTTATGTGTTTTATTGAAATGAGTCAACAGTAAAACTACTTGGCAATATTACCTTGGCCATGAATGCATCCATTTCTAACCCACAGGGTGGTGAGCTTTTCTAGGTCAAAACTGTATGTAGAGTGAGGTACAGGAGAATTAGGAACACCGCACTTGGCTTGATGACTACTTGGCATGACAAACAACAGATTGAAAAATACAGTAAGAGCCACCCTAAAAACAGGAAGCTTAGCATTCTGTACACACTACGCCATTACCATCTTCAGACGATGGACTCCAGTCGCATTTTCAGCCACATTATAACACCGACAAAAAAGATAGGGAAAAGGCAACCACATGTTGTAAACATTTATTATATTTAGAAAATTGTTTCCATTATTTTAAATAAAAAAACATTCCGTTGAAGTAGTCGAAAGTGGAATCTCAGCTGCAGCAAAACAAGGATAACCGTCTTGCCACTGTGGTCATATTTAGCCACTTTTCCCCCCAATATACAGCAGCAGCTGGGGGTGATCGCCAACTGCTCGTCTAACATTAAAAATCTGCATCACGCCCCTAAGATTAAAAAGAAAAAACAATACGTCGAATAAAGTACCCGCGGTGTAAAATAAAAAAGGAAAAAAAATGCACGTTATGAAAAGTCACGCTGCGTGTGGGAAGTCCGCTTCGCGTTGAGGGGAACAAGGTCAGCGCTATGTCAGGAGGAGGAGAGACACGAGTGCCATCGCACAGCTGACGAGCAGAGAGAGCCGTGCCAAGCTGGCATCACTGCTGAGCATACACTGCACTCTGGACCAAGAGCCATTGTTTGGCAGAGCCTCGATCCCAAGGGCGCCACACATCAAATTGTAAACATCGACAGATCTGATGGGGGCTGCTCTGAAGTTCTTTTTGAAATCTGTGGAGCACATAACAAAGAGGAGATGGATCACAAATCGGGGGGGGTACAGTACGACAAGTATCTTAAGCCCTTATCTGAAGCTCTCAAGATGTACCCCCAGTTTACTTCACTCCCATAAAAACCACACATTCTTATTCTGCGTCGAAAATGATTAAGTTGCACTTTGATCCCCTACAAACTGCAAAAAAGGAAACGAGTGGGAAAAAAACTGATAAGAATACAGAACTCAAAGCGCTTATCTAAAAAGCTTCATTGCTAGTCATCTGCAAAAATGAAAATGCTTCCAGTGCCTGCATCTAGTTTTTCAGTTTTACTCACTATTCAGATCACTTTAACTGGCTTTGTTTCTAGAGAAGACACTAGACCTACAGTAGGATAACTAGATGAATTTCAATTAAACTAAACATTTTTTTTACAATTCAAATAGTCAAATGTTATAGCTGAAACAATTCCCCCAACAAATGTCCATTCCAAATGATGTAGATGTTTGGGCAGAGTTTCAAGAAAAACTGTACTATAACAAAGTCTAACTGTATTACTATGGGTATCTTTTCCTAAGTGATATTCTCCTCTCAACACAAGTAATTCAACTTGATCGATAATCAGTTCTGATATTATCACAATTACCAAACATCAGCAGACTGATTGACCTCGTTAACGGCTCATCTTAAATCACCCAGGGTAAATAACTGACTTTTACAACTGCTTCTTGAACTATAATAATAATAAGGTCCTCACTCTTAAGCTATCTAAATCTTATCAAATAACAGAGCAATCAAGAGAGCCCTTGTGTCCCTACCTTATGACCTATAAACCCATGTCATGTGACAAGTATTAGTTTTAACAATTAACCACAAAACAAGCTAGCCAAGCTGAATGGCCCTACTCATTTGTAATGTTTCTTGTGCTCTTATGTCTCACTCACATACTCTTTAAAACTATGTGAGGCAACAGATTTATATGGTAACATCTTGATGTTACAGGTTCTGTAGGTTTGACTGTACATTTTACATGGACCTTCTACTAATATTTGAAATGAGAATTAAAATATTTCTGTTTCTGTATTCTCTCTCTCGTTTAGCCCAAGCCTGTTGAGAGCGCTGTAAACATTTCCAAACACTCGCTTTTATCACCAGGCACACTCTCCATCTCATTAATACTTGGGGTAGGTTATGCACCTGTATTGTAAAACAACCTTATTTGTAATACAGTACATAATGCACGATTCATTTTTATGTTAAGTGTGGGGATAAAATACTAGGGATAAAGGTTCTGCCACCAGTTACAGATTTATGCAGCATTTTGCATCTCGGTGGCTCTGGAAAGGAACATCATGAAAAAAACAGGAACCGGCAGAAGAGCAACAGATCTGACCTGCATGAATCGCTCCGGCACAGACTCAAGGCTGTAGCACAGGTGAAAGCCAGAGACTCAGGTGGACACCTGCCCAGCTGGGGGGGCCAGTGGGCGGAAAATAAATCATTTTCAGGAAAAAAAAAAAGCTCTAAGGTGGTGTAGCGCTATAATTCTGTCAGTGACACACGGTGAAGATCATCAGAGAAGAGTAACGGTTTTCAGGATACATTTTTAAATCAAATGCTAATTTAATAAAAATGAACACGGGGGCAAACTTCCAGCCGTTAAAGACAACATCTTCCGCCCTTTTTCCGAAAGAGATCAGCGGAGGTCGGAGGGAGTTCTCTCCCCCGTGCCGTACCTGGTCCGTAAGCCAAGAAGAAGCCCCTCATGTCCATGAGCTCGTTGTCGTAGCCGTGCCAGCCATGCTGCCAGGCCTGCGCCTGCCCCGTGCCGTTGTCCCAGTAGGGCAGCTTGTCTATGCTCTGGGGGGGACAGACACTGCCGTCAGCCGGGGCCGCGCGGAGACCTCCGGCAGCGCGGCTCGGCGCTCGGACACACCCCCGCGCGATGGCGGCCCCCTGGCCCACTGCGCCTCCCAGGAGGCCTCCCTTGGCCGGACAGGACCTCATGGCGTTATCGTGCCGTTTGGGGATGCTGTCATCCTATTCACACCCCTGAGTAATGGTCAGCTATTTTTATTTATTTAATAATTAATAATTGCTGACACTTATAGAGCGCTTTTTCTGGACACTCCACTCAAAGCGCTTTACAGGTAATGGGGA